ACAGACTGTGGAAGCTTCACACTGGACTTCAAGCATCTTGCAGTGAGTGCCTCTCCATTCTTCCTCCATACTCTGGGTCCTTGGTTTCCAAATGAGATGCAAAAGTTGCTCTCATCAGAAAAGAGGACTTTGGACCACTGAGCAACAGACCACAGGTCTGTTTTTCTTTAACCCAGGTAAGACGCTTCTGACGTTTGTTGTTCAGGAGCGGCTTGACAAGAGGAATACGACATTTGAAGCCCATGTCCAGGATCCGTCTGTATGTGGTGGCTCTTGATGCACTGTCTCCAGCCTCAGTCTACTCCTTGTGAAAGTTCCCAACACTTTTGAATGGCCTTTACCTGACAATCCTCTCCAGGCTGCGGTCATCCCTGCTGCTTGTGCACCTTTTTCTTCCACACGTTTCCCTTCTACATAACTTTCTATTAATGTGCTTTGATACAGCACTTTGGGAACATCCAACTTCTTTTGCAATTACCTTTTGAGGCTTTCCCTCCTTATGGAGGGTGTCAATGATGGTTTTCTGCACAACTGTCAGGTCAGCATTCTTTCCCATGATTGTGATTCCTACTTTACCAGACTGAGAGACCATTTAAAGGCTCAGGAACCCTTTGCAGGTGTTATGGCTTAATTAGCTGATTAGAGTGGGACACTTTGAGCCTAGAATATTGCACATTTTCACAATATTCAAATTTTCTGAGATTGTGGATTTGGGGTTTTCATGAGCTGTAAGCCATAATCATCACAATTATGACAAATCATGGCTTGAACTATCTTGCTTTGCATGTAATGAGTCTATCTCATATATTAGTTTCACCTTTTCAGTTGCATTACTGAAATAAATGAACTTTTGCACGATATTCTAATTTTTCGAGTTTCACCTGTATACACGTAGAAATTTGCATGCACACTTGGAATCCAGTGGCTTATTTAAATTGATGTGTCACTAAGAGAAGTTTCTGAATGGTCTTCTGCTTGTGTTCATGTGTCCTAAGACCTGATCAGTTGCATTTGCCCATGTATGACTCGGTTTCCCCTCATACTTTGCCTCTGCTTTCTGCCTCAGCTCTGCTCATCTGGTTACCCTCGACCTTGGCCTGATTCCTGGACTTGTCTCTGCCTGCTGATTCTGTACTGCTTTGGCCAGCTGTTACTGGAGATTACTTATGCACTCTGAGTCATCCCTGCTAGTCCAACCCACAAAGAGGAATTGAATGAGCTGATTGGATGATATCAACTGGAGAAACAAAAGTGATGAATAAAATAAAATTAATTTTGGATTCATTAGTTTTGTTATGATTTGGAGATTCTGATGGATCCACTTCCATCCAACCCAAACACAATAAGTAGGAATCATCTTATTTCACTTTTATACCTTACTGTATTTATTGCAATATTTTTCCATTTCATAAGTAGTGCATTTCTTATAATAATTAAAAATGTAAATGTAAAAAGCATCGGCTAATTATCCAAGACAAAGACTGCCGCTCTGCTCTCATTTGAATAAAACGAAAGGATCCAAATCAATTTAGACCATTTGTTGTGTCGTTACGTTATTTTGGATGCTTCAAACATTAATAAAAGTCCCAAACTATTGCATCATGTCATCTGAATGAATACAAATTAATATGAATTAGGGAAGCACAGATACCATTTTTTTACAGCGATTACGAGTACTTTTTTTTTTTACTCTCCAATACCAATTATTGATACCTGCCAGCAACTGTTTTCTTTACACTTCAGCTGTCAGCAGGGGAACCTTGCTGACAGCTGAATGAGTAATCAGTTGTTAAGGATGCATTCATCCCACTTCTTAACCATTTTGGCTCTCACACCTGTTCACACCTTATGGACAAGAGCAATTTTTACATTTCTGCTATGGACCTGTTTATTTGGCTATAACTTTGTCATTATGTAAGGTAACAACAAAATAAATATATTGTACAAAACTTTCTTTTTGTGAATATTGTCTTGCAACATTGATGTGTTTTCACAATCCTTAGACTATTAACCACTTGCCTACTGGACACTTTTACCCCCTTCTTACCCAGGCCAATTTACAGCTTTCAGCGCTGTTGCACTTTGAATGACAATTGTGCAGTCATGCAACACTGTACACATTTTTTTAGATATGTAGAAATTTATTTTAGTGGTATGTAACCACCTCCCGCCCGCCATATAGTAATATGATGGGCGCAAGGCGGTTCTCTCGTTCTCACCGCGCATACGTGGCTCAGGGAGCGATCCCTCGGACACAGCGGATCACCGATCATGGAAAGAGCCGAAGATGTCTGCTCGGTCATGTGATCAGCTGTGTCCAATCACAACTGATCACATGTAAACAGGGAAATGCCGGTTACACTGTTCAACAAATTTTTATTTTTTGCCAGTTTTGGAAACAAAAGGATCCATTTCTTAATGAATTTCACATTCTGAGTTCAAATATAACAATGAAATTTGTCAATTGGCTCTAGTTTTTCTGTAAACGGAAAGTTTTCTACTATAGGCGTAATGACTACATAATGCACAATAATTATATAGATAGATGTCTTTCCACAAATATAAAGCAAGTGATATTGACTACATAACAAAGCCTAAATGGCATAATATATTGCATAGGATTACCAAGAAAAATTATAGCCATAAGCTAAGTTGAATCATTTTAATACTTAGGATTCTCACTAGTTTTGTCTTCAGTTTGTGTCGGTTTTGCTTCTCTTGGCTTTTCTCTTGTATTCGAGGAAAGGGCTATCTCTTACAACTGTCCAGCAATAGTCAGCAAGCATTGATGAGCTCCATTTACCTTGATATCTTCTTTCCATAGCTGAAATGTCTTGATGGAAGCGCTCTCCGTGTTCATCACTCACTGCTCCACAGTTTGGTGGGAAAAAATCCAGATGCGAATGTAGAAAATGAATTTTTAGAGACATGTTGCAACCCAGATTTCTGTAAGTCTGGATGAGTTTTTCTACCACTTTCTTGTAGTCTGGTGTTTTATTGTTTCCAAGAAAATTTGATGTCACTGATACAAATGCTGTCCAGGCAGCCTTTTCCTTTCCACGCAACAGAGAAAGAAACTCATCATCATGAATAAGTTTACGAATCTGTGGCCCAACAAAGACTCCTTCATTTATTTTTGCAGCACTAAGTGCTGGAAATTTGCTAATCAGGTACTTGAAACCTGCTTTATTCTTGTCCATTGCCTTAACAAAGTTTTTCATTAATCCCAACTTGATGTGTAATGGAGGTAATAAGATCTTATTGCTGTCTACAAGTGCAGGATAGTTAACATTTTTTTCTCCAGGCTGCAATGACTGGCGTAATGGCCAGTCTCTTTTGGCATAGTGCATTTCTCTCGCACGAGTGTCCCACTCACAGAGGAAGCAGCAGTACTTAGTATATCCACCTTGAAGTCCAAGTAGGATAGCAATCACCTTCAGGTCACCACAAATCGACCATTGATGTTCATCATAGTTGATGCACCTTAAAAGCTCTTTCAAGTTTTCATACGTTTCTTTCATTGAAACTGCGTAAGCAACTGGAACTGACGGCAGCTGATTGCCATTATGGAGCAAAACAGCTTTAAGACTTGCCTTTGAAGCATCAATGAACAGCCTCCACTCATCGGGATCATAGCATACGCCGATGGCTGAGATTAAACCATGAACATTGTTACATACAGCAATATCACCTTCCTGGACGAAGAATGGGATCAGATCTTTCTGACGATGACGGTAGAAAGACGTACGAACATCACTTGCTAGGAGATTCCACTGTTGTAGTCTTGACCCCAAAAGCTCTGCCTTGTTCTTCGGAAGATCCAGGTCTCTGATAAGATCGCTCAATTCCACTTGTGTAATGAGGTGTGGTTCAGTGGGTGTGGATGGAAGAAAGTCTGGGTCATGTGAGGTTGACGGTTGATGACTACACGCTTCAGGTTCTTCCTCACTTGACTCAACCACGAAGGATTCTGGTGCTTTAGGAATTGGTAGCCCCTCTCCATGAGGAACTGGACGTATTGCCGATGAAATATTTGGATAGTGCACAGATAACTTTTTCTTCTTATTTAGCCCTTTTGTTGGAGGCACCATACAAAAGTAACAATTACTAACATGATCTGTTGGCTCTCTCCAAATCATTGGCACAGCGAAAGGCATAGATGCCTTTTTTCCATTCAACCATTGCTCCAGTGCCGTCCCACAAGAATTGCAGCATATATGTGGTGCCCAGCTCTTGTCCTGGTCTCCTATCTTGCAGCCAAAATACAAGTTGTAGGCTTTCTTAATCATTCCTGTTATCCTCCTTTTTTTGTGAGATAAAAGTTATTTCATCGCAGATATAGCAGAAATTATCTGCTTTATTCACACAAGTTCGAGGCATTACTGAGTAGCCTATATAAGCATAAAACGAAATGTAAAGACGCTGTGGAACTACAATCAGCTACAGATACTGTAGCTTTTATGCAGTGAAGTGATGCAATTAAAGGCTAATATTGCATCATCTCAGTATACATGCAATTTTCTATTGGTCACCAGTATCAATTGCGCAATATGCAGCTGAAGTTGCATCATAATTTTGAATGGCTTACGTCATTAGATGGGTGAATATATCATGGAAACTAGAGCCAATCAACATTTTTTAGGGTCATTTTCGTTTTCAGCACCCCAAAATTATGTAAGATTAGCTAATTTTATGCCCAAAACTTTTTACCTGTTGAACAGTGTTATCGGCATTTCTCTCCTCTCGAGCTGTCACGAGGGGACATGTACACTGATCATCAGTGCACTGATGATCAGTGTGCCCTGATGATCAGTGTAGCCCCAGCAGTGCTACCTGTCATTGTCCATCAGTGCCTTGTGTCAGTGCTCATCAGTGCCTCGTGCCAGTGCCCATCAGTGCCACATCAATGTCACATATCAGTGCCTACCAGTGCACATCAATGCCACATATCAGTGTCCATCTGAGCTGCCTTTCAGTGTCACCCATCAGTGCCAGTCAGAGCCACCTATCAATGCCAATCAGTGCCACCTATCAGTGCTGCCAATCAGTGCCACCTATCAGTGCCAGTCAGTGCCACATATCAGTGCCAGTCAGTGCTGCCTATCAGTGCCAGTCAGTGCCGTCTAACAGTGCCAGTCAGTGCCGGCTGTCAGTGCCAGTCAGTGTCGCCTGTCAGTGCCATATAAGTGCCATATATCAGTGCCATGTATCAGTGCTGCCTTTCAGTGCCCATCAGTGATGCCTGTCAATACCCATCAGTGCCACCTACCAGTGCCTCCTCATCAGTGCCCATCAGTGCAGCCTATCAGTGCCCATCACTGCAGCCTCATTAGCGCACATCAGTGAAGGAGAAAAATCACTTTTTTACAAAATTTTATAACGAAAACTAAGAAAAAAGTTTTTTTTTTCAAAATTTTCAGTGGTTTTTGGTTTGTTTAAGAAAAAATTAAAAACCCAGAGGTAAATACCACCAAAATAAAGCTCTATCTGTCACAAAAAAATGATAAAAATTTAATATATTAAATCCCTATCCCCTCACAACTCCTACAACCTCCCTCCCTCTCCATCCTTCGCTCCCTCACCCACATCTTTAATCTCTCCCTCTCCTCCAGCACTTTCCCCTCCCCTCTGAAACATGCACACATCACCCCCATACTTAAAAAGCCCTCCCTGGACCCCAATGACCCGAACATCCTCAGACCCATCTTCCTGCTCCCATTTACATCCAAACTCCTCGAGCGCCTAGTCTACACCCGCCTAAGCTCTCACCTTAACGACAACAACCACCTCAATCCCCTACAGTCCAGCTTCTGTCCCCTACACTCCACCGAAACTGCCTTACTTAAACTCTCCAACGACCTGCTAACTGTCAAAGCTAATGGCCACTATTCAGTGCTCCTACTCCTTGACCTCTCTGCGGCCTTCAACACAGTCGACCATCCCCTCCTCCTCAAAAAACTACACTCCCTCGGCCTCAGAGATTCTGCTCTCTCCTGGCTCTCATCCTACCTGTCACAACGCTCTTTACAGCGTTACCTATAATGCTACCACCTCCCCCTCACTCCCCCTCTTTGTTGGGGTCCCTCAAGGCTCCGTCCTCGGGCCCCTTCTCTTCTCCATCTACACCTCCTCCCTTGGCCAACTCTCATACACTCTCACGGCTTCAACTACCACCTATATGCCGATGACACACAAATCTATCTCTCAACCCCCCACCTCACCACCTCAGTCTCCACCCGAATCACACACCTACTGAGCGACATATCTGACTGGATGTCGCTCCACTTCCTTAAACTGAACCTCTCCAAAACCGAGTTTCTTGTCTTCCCCCCAGCCCCGGACACCACCCCCCCCCATTGACTTCTCCATCACATCCAACAACGCCACCATCAAACCCACCCCGCAGGCCAGAGTACTTGGTGTCATTCTGGACTCCAACCTATCCTTTCAGCCCCAAGTCCAATCTTTAACAAGCTCGTGCAGACTCCACCTCCACAATATCGCCAAAATACACACGTTCCTAACCCCAGAAACCACTAAACAGCTCATCCACTCCCTCATCATATCACGACTCGACTACTGCAACTCCCTCCTCACTGGCCTGCCTCGCCGCTGGCTATCCCCTCTTCAGTCAATCCTGAATACGGCTGCCAGACTCATTCACCTTTCCAACCGCTCCGTTTCCGCCACCCCCCTCTGCCAATCCCTCCACTGGCTTCCGATTGCGCAACGGATCAAATTCAAAATCCTAACACTGACGTACAAAGCCTTCCACCATACTGCCCCGAACTACATCACTGACCTAATATCCAAGTACCACCCAGCACGCACACTCCGCTCCTCACAAGACCTCCTTCTCTCTAGCTCCCTGGTCTCCTCCTCCCATGCCCGCCTCCAGGACTTCTCCAGGGTGTCACCCATCCTCTGGAACTCCCTGCCCCAACCCATCAGATTATCACCTACTCTCCTCTCCTCTCCTTTAGGCGCACCCTGAAAACCCACCTCTTCAGGGAAGCCTACCCCACCCCCTGCTAACTTGCCAACCTCCTCCACTCTTCCTACCACCCCATCCCCCACAGCTATCTCCTCCTTTGCCACCAACCCCTCCCTCCTAGATTGTAAGCTCGAAAGAGCAGGGCCCTCGATCCCCTCATGTTTTGCATTGTATTGGTATTGTTTTGTCACATGTTCTGTCCCCCTTTGTAATGTACAGCGCTGAGCGAACTATCGGCGCTTTATAAATACTGTATAATATTAATAATATGGGTACAGTGTTGCATGACTGCGCAATTGTCACTCAAAGTGTGACAGTGCTGAAAGCTGGAAATTGGCCTGGGCAGGAAGGGGGTATAAGTGCCCTGTAGGCTTGTGGTTAATCACCACTGGGTTTTTTTTGCACTATAAAAACAAAAGAGTGAAAATGTTTTTAAAAAAAGGTTTTCTTTGTTTCTATTATAACATTTTGCAAACAGGTCATTTTTCTCACTCACTGATGTGTGTTGATGAGGTTGCACTGATAGACAGCACTTATAGGCAGCACTGATGGGCACTGATGAGGCAGCACTGATAGGCAGCACTGATGGGCACTGACACGCTGCACTGATGAGGTACCACTGGTGAGCACTGATGATGTTGCACTGATATGCAGCACTGATGGGCACTAATGGGTGGCAATGATGGGCACTGATAGGCAGCACTGATGGGCACTAATAGGTAGCACTGTAGGGCACTGACTGGTGGTACTTACTGGAAGAACTGACTGGCAGCACTGACTGACAGCACTGACTGGTGGCACTGATAGGCAGCACTGACTGGCACAGATTGGCAGAACTATTGGGTACTGCTGGGCAGAACTGTTGGGCACTGATGGACAGCAATGCTGGGCCCTGATGGGCAGCACTGTTGGGCACTAATGGGAAGCACTGTTGGGCACTGATGGGCACTTTTGGGGCTACACTGATAATCAGGGCACTGATAATCAGTGCCCTTATTATCAGTGCAGATGTCTCCTTTGACAGTTGCCAGTTACAATTGCCAACTGTGACAGCATGAGGAAAGTACTGCCGATAACTGGCAAATGTAGTTTACATAGTGGTCATTTGTGATTGGACACAGTTGATCACGTGGTAAAAGTCAGCTGTGATTGGCCTTTTACCATGTCATGTGATCAGCTGTGTCCTTTGGACACAGCAATAACAGAAAGCTTCGGGTGCGCGCTGCTGGAGGGGACGCATTCCGGGAGGACATCATATGACGTCCTCCCAGAACTGGACAACCATGCTGAAGCCGTCATTTTTCTATGGCGCAGTAAGGAAGTGGTAACAAAACTAAAAAACACTTTTTTTTTTAACAGTGTTAGTTTAAATATAAATAGTGTTACTGCACATAAAAAGTGCACATTTTATTTTGTAATTGTCCTGTTTAAAATTACACAAAAAACTATGATTCTGGTACAAAGAATTAAAAAGTTATTTACACATTAAGTAAATTGTATTTTTTTCAAATGTATGCTTTTTTCAATGTGAAATGTGTCAATGTATGTTAAAGGTCTAACAATATTAATGAACAAAGGAAAAAAAACAAACAAAAATAAGTTTTAACCACCCCCCCTTCATGACCAGGCCATTTTTTGCGATATGGTGCTGCGTTAATTTAACTGACGATTGCACAGATCTCTCCCCTGTCAGCTTCCCTGCCGATCACTGAGTCCTGACCATGAATTTCTGGCTGGGACTGATGATTGACAATGACAGTGCAGGGAGGGCTGCGTGCACGCGACCTACCCATAGATGCAAAATCATGTATTTATACGAGATTTTGCTCAATGTGGCTGCCCTGTAGCAGTATATCTATAGGGCGGTCCTGAAATGGTTAATATTAGTAGTTTATAAAATAGAAATGAACAAAAAAAAAAAAAAAGCAGGAAAATAATAATTAAATGGAGAAGGAAAATAAGGAGTTAATTAGGGCTGATTAGATTAAATTAAGGGTTAATAAGGGGGTAAACAGAGGAACATTTATTTAATTAAAAAAAAAGTTATTTTGCTTGACTTTTTTTACTTGTTGCTTTTAACTGACTTCATCTGCAGATCAAAAATCATCCCTTTGATCTGTAGATGAATAAAGCTGAGCAATGTTGTTGCTAAACATTGTCAGGCTGCTTTTCTTTTTTTGACAGCTCCAATTGCCCAAAACCTTTCTTTTGTTGTGGCTTCAGCTGTCAACTGGGGAACCCCTCTGACAGCTGAATTTGTCATCAGTTGTTAAGGTCGCAGAGGCCCTGCTCCTTAATTCCTGGCATTTTTTTCTTAATTTACATTTCAATCCCCCACTGCCAGCTGAAAGAACAGATCCTGAAGGTATTGGTTTCAGAACATTTATTTATTACATGTACTTATATAGCACCATCAATTTACGCAGTGCTTTACATATATATTGTACATTCATATCAGTCCCTAACCCTCAAGGGGCATACAATCTAAGGTCCCCTAACTCACCTTCATACATACACATATTAGGGCCAATTTGGACAGGAGCCAATTAACCTACCAGCATGTCTTTGTGAGTGTGGGAGGAAACCCATGCAGGTACAGGGAGAACATGCAAACTCCAGGCAGGTAGTGCCGGGCAGAAGTGCTAGCCACTTAGCCACTGTGCTTCCCAACATTTGCACAACTACTGATACTTGTGCAAACGCTTTTATGATCGGCACCGATACCAGTATTTGGTGCAATCTTAATATGAATGAATTTGTTGTTTTTGTTATAATTTATTTTGGATTCATTGGAGTTCATTTACTATTGAATTTGACTTTCAGAAACATACGGATTTCTACATAACAAAAATTTGGTCTGAATTTCAATTTGTAATGAAATGAAATCGCACATGTCTAATTAACCTGCCCTTATTACTTTAGATTAAAGAAAATGGTTACATAAAGCATTGAGATCAGTTTCTGCATTGCCACCATGCCAATAGACAGAGAATCCCCATTGCTGTCTGCACTCATACCAACCTGCATTTTGACACAATTTGCATTAAGAATATAATTCCTGATGCAATAGATTGTGTCAGATTTTTTGTTCTTTTGTATGGCGTTTGCTGAATTTGAAAGAGAAAACAAATTTCCTAAGCATGAAAACCGAACGAACTGTCATCAAACATTTTTATTAGAAATTTGTCAATCGTTTCAAAATATCTGCCAGTAGACATACGAGTTGGTGTCCTC